GTTTGAATAGTTCCGCAAAATTCATCATGAAAATGACATAGGTTTCCATTTCCCTCCATACATTTATTTCATGTTTCTTCCCCATTTGACTCGAGTTTGTTGGTTGTCGAGCACTTGATGAGTTCGACTTCAAGCTCACCCATCGCCGTTAATCTCCACCGTCAACCATACAAAGGTTAACGTGTCTTTTGTCTTTTATGGCATGTTTACTTAAAGGTAAAATGAGTAAAATAACGAATGAAAATTACGATCATTCCAAATGTGTTTACCAACCTTTGGGAATTAAAAATACACGTGGACCCACCTAAAATAGAGAATAATACTCATGATTTTTCCGAAATCATATTACTAAATAATAGATAATAAGAGATTATATTCATACACCTCAAATTATTTCTCCCACACTACACACCACTAAGACTTGATAGAAAAATAAAAATATTAAAAAATTAAAAATGTGTGAGAAAAGTAATTTGGGGTGTGAATATAATCTCCCTAATATTTGGATTTTGCAAGAAAATTTCGATATGGGATTCCGCTTTTTCTATCCAAAATATCCTTAATCCTTCTCCCTTCCATCCCTGATCCAAGTAAGCATGAGAGAAGAGGAAGATTATGCAGAAAATTTACATGCAAAATCCAAATTTGCAAACGAAAAACATTAACTTTGAATTCTTATATGAGAATCAAGAAACCTCACAAATAAAAAATGCAACAGAATTTCATTTACAATTATCCTCATTTCTCAAAATAGTGAACTAGGTGGGTAGTCAAACTAGAATTTTAAAAGATTTTAAAACAAATTATAATAGTTCGGGATATTTCAGCAAGAAATGGGCACGTTTCTCTTTTAATCACGTCTCCTTTTAATACGTGATATAGGGAGGGACAAACACGTCTGATATCTCCACAAAATTAGAAGGTAAATTCAAATCACATAGAAAATTAGAAGGTAAATTCAAATCACATAGCAATTATATTTGTTTATGAAAAAGAGGAATGTTGGGAAAGAAAACCTTATTGCATACGGAATCCGACTGTCCTTCAGTTACAATTGGTTCCTGATAAGAGAGAAGCAGATTCATTTGATTCTTGAGATTCTAGAAAAGCACTTCTTTACTATTCCAAAAGCACTTCCAAACATGCCCAGAGAAACACATTGGATGGCTCTGATGGTGGCACGCACTACTGACTATTGACATTGTCAGTCAAACAGCCTCACTATCATTCACCAACAATGCAAAGCAAAACAATGTGCAAATCCTCAAAGAAGTTGGGTAGAGACAGTATCTAAGCATGTGCTAATTAACGATAAGAGTCACATTCACTACCTTTTTATTTCGGTTTCAGTACAAGTTAAGATGCAAACAAAAATTTAGAAGAAATCTAGCATTTCCATTCTGAAATTAGAAATACAGCATTCATGTCCCTACAAGAGTCTCCACAGTAGTACAACCCCAATTGCTATATTCACCCACCCCTAATTTGAAATTCCTCAAAGCATATACGGTCCTCAAGTCCTGCTACCGGGATAGAAATATTCGACACTATTTTCCTTTGCTTTGAATTGGAAATTCGACACTTTGTTTCTCGATCCCTCATACCCATCATAAATCCCCCTGTTCTGAACTGTCAACTGCAACCAAGTACAACAATCAAGGTCATAACTCCTGTATCCGTGCAGCAGTGTAGGTATTATCTATAACTATTAGGATGAACCTTTTGTGAAGTAATAGAAGACTACAGCCATAACTAGCAAATCACAAGCAGCAAGGTAGCAAGCAATACAAACGGAAATAGTTCTCACAATTTTTCAATTGTTAACACCGGTTTGTGAAGATCAGAGAACAAGGATCTCAACAAAAAGGACCATGACACAAGCAACTATCATATATATGAGCACAACATGGTTAACAAAAACTAAGCAAATTATCTGTTTTTAGAACAACCAAAGACCCAAGCAAGCAACCACAAATGAGAAGAGGGGACCATACAAGAATGATGTGACAGGATATAATTCCTAGAACTCCCTATGAAGAGCGACTTAATATTTGTTCTAGCAAATACCTGCCCGTGCACATCTGAGGCTAAACCAGTGGCCAACGGTTCTGCCGTTATCAGAATGTCTGCTAGATACTCCATCTGTAAAATAAGGGTAGGCTTTGCCGTGCTTGAATAGATATCCTTGTGATTGAGCATGACTAAGGAACATCCCTGAGACAAGAAAAGGGAAATAACATAAATAACGGAACAAAAGGAGTGGAAGCATGAAAAGCTAAGAAACTGAGACGGTTGCAGCCAATGCCTTACGAATTCTGATATTAAAGTGTGGCAGTAATGCAGAAAGTCTAGCACAAGATTTGTAGATCCCTTAGCAGCCACCTCCATGAGGGAAATATCGTCAATCATAATAGTGACACAGATGTTCTCTTGAGCTAAGGCACTTATAATCTTTTGGATTTTCCCATACAAAGCAATTAGTCCACAATCACTGTTTTTTCCTTCGTCTGCATCACAATCGAATGAAATGATTTTCTCGTCATGAATTCAATGATACAAGGAAACCTGATAATTCAGCAATTTCTGATAACCAATACTAACATTCTTACACTTTTCTCTTAACAAAACCTTTATTAACCGAAAATGGAACCATGGTTAACATCAGTCCTGCATTAAATCCTACATTGTTTCAAACTAAATTGATACAGCAACCTAAAGAAGATTTTTATGTACCCGCAGGTCTCTTAGACGAGGATCATTTAACTAAATTTTAGCTACTCAGGACATGTAGATCGATAAGAACATGTCGGGGATTGCATTGGGTGGAAAATTAATTAGTAATTAAGAGTAAGCCGGGCTGAGCCGGCAAACTTAGAAAAACCATTTTATACCTGATTTTCTCACCTGGGCAGTCCATAAGCATGTCAAGAAAAAAGAATCTATCATTGTCCCTCTGTGCAGCCAAATTGCAACCCTGTATCAAAAAACACATCCGAAATTCACAAACCCCATTTTTATTATGTAATGGAAAATAATTTAACAATTACTAATCAATCTTAACCAAAAAAGAGAGTAAATGAACACAGATATTAGCAGCTAAACATGATACTATGAACTACTAATTAAAAATAAAAATTAAGCTTAATTCTTTATGCAGAGAGAGAGAGAGAGAGTTACGAGTCTTCGGAGGATGCGATCGTAGTGAGAGAAGGGGTGGGCGAAGGCGACAAAAACGACGGCGTTGGAGGTGGAGTGGTGAGGCTGAGAGAGAGAGCGCTTGAGAATGTGGTGGAGGACGAAAGCGGCGCTGGTGTCGACGCAGTCTTCGAGGAGCACAACGCGGCGACTGAGATTTCCTAGCGCTTCGTCCAATAAGCCTCCTCCTTGCTCCATCTTCGTCTTCTTCCTCTTCTTTTAAAGCACTGAGCTTTTAGGGTTTAGGGTTTCTGAATTTGTGATTTAAACGGTTTTGGGCCTTCTCAAACAGTGACCAGCCATTTCACCCGCGCTTTTTTTAGCAAAAAATAAATAAACCTATCATTTATGAAAGAGAAATAGTAAATAAATATAAAAATAAAAAGTTAATCCGAAAAATATCTTATTTAGCCAATGTGATTATATTCAAGGCCACGTATGAACATTCATTTTCAAGAGTAGCTAAAAATTGCGTGTCACAATTGTTTGCTTAACTTATCTCAATTTTTCTTTGCTTACGTTACTACTTCAATTACAAATTTATAATTTATTCATCTTTTTACACTGATTCAAGAAAAATTACTCAAATTTACGTTATAGGAATCTAAATTCTAATTAAATAATAACTTTATACTCTAATTCAGTAACCAACTAATTTAATTTACATCTACAAATAGCATCGATCCTTAACATATCAAATTTTATATTATTCAAATTATGAATCATGATGAAAAAAGTGGGTAAATAGTTGGGCTCACCGGCTGCCTAGATAGCCAACACCATCTTATGGTCCAAAGAGCAACTGACAATATATAACCAATAAAAAATAAACAAGTTAATTAACACTTAAGTAATAATTTAATTATCACTACTTGCGTCATATGATTTACAAATATAGTTCAAATTGATTGTCTCCCTAACATTACCCTTGTACAAAACATAAGACGATAATTTTCACCTTTTCTTACTAATTTTTATAAAAATACATATATACAAATTATAATTAACAGGTAAATTTGATTAAGTATTATTCATTTCAAATTACGACATGTTTGAACTTAAAAATTGCTCTTCCAAAGCATTGGTCCTGCCGCTAAAGTCATGTTGAAAATGATGTTTTTGAAACTGAAATTATTATGCATTTTTTCTAATTTTGTTTTAAAAAATTGGCCGTATTTTTTATTTAATAGTATATTACCATTCATATCTAGCTGTCCTTTGTACTTCTATTTTTTTTTCCTCTCAAGTGAAAGCCAATTATTGGGTTTTTTTTTATATTTAATCATGAGGTGTTAACTACTAAGTATTAAGATTTAATGGTATTTTTTTTCACTTGTGAGTTCTAAATTTTAAGTTCAAATATCGTAAATGACGAATTCAATACTAACTTATTCCAGAACACCATAAATGTATTGTTGTATATAAGATTGTGAAGCCATTTTTTTTAAGACAACCGTTTAAATTGTTAATTTAATTGCAGGCGTATACGTAATTATACACCCAAATCCAAATCCCTCCACATTTCAAATAAATTTAATTATATTTCATCATTTAAAAAAATATATAAATCACTAATTTAGTTTGCCAGTGGATCGCATTAGAATTATAATTGTAATCTTTCATGGTTGTCAAGTGTCATCAAGTTTTGGAGCAAAGTGATCACTTGAGCTGAGTCAAAGTAAAACAATGGAAATACAGAGACTCTGTGGGACACCATACAAATTTCAAAAGACTATAAGGACACCATTGCAAAAAAAGGGTTTTCAAGAATGAAAAGTATATAGTGGGAATGAACAGGGTCTGTCAGAATTTAACCAACTCTGCCTCTCAAGCAACACAAAGGTAAAAAATCACTAAGAGGTAGAAGAGAAGCCATGAGTTGGTTCCTGTGTTCCGGCGAGTTAAGCAGAAAAGCTGCAAATAAGAAGAAGATCAAGAAGAACAAGCCAGAAGATCAGATCTCATCAATTTCAGGTAACATTTCTGGAAACATTTTGAAGATACCATTTTTTAAGAATTTTTTACTGTTTAGATGTTTGAAGATTTGAGCTTTGTGAACCAATTGTGTGCATTTTTTTTACCGCATTGATTTACTGTTGATGAATGCAGGAATCCCATGTTTGTAATTGGTTGAATCTTAATGTATGCGATCCCTTTTGAATGTTGACATTGTTGGGAACAATGTAGGTTTGTTGTCATGTGGTATTTGGCATTCTGGGTTTGATTTACTTTTGTATTTAGCGTTCACTGTTATTGGGTAAGAGTTAGTTTCAATTTTTTATTCCAAAGTTGTGTTCTTTACTGCACTGGGTTTTCTACTGTTGGTAATCATTTTGTTTAATCAACAACAAGAAGAACAACAAAGCCTTATGCTGTATGAGTCCTAAAACGCCATTGCGCTTGTTTTTGCGCCAAACCATTTTGTTTAATCAAATCGAAGTTTTTGGATTATTATGCAATCGAAGTTTCGTTCGAATTTTATTACACAGTAAACTGTCTATGTATCGTTGTTTATATAGCTTTCCCATTTGTTCTTTTACTTAGAACAACTGAAGGCAAATTCAGGACTGTCAGTAAAGGAGGGTTCTAAGGATGGAGGCTCTGGTCACATTGCAGCACATACATTTACATTTCGAGAATTGGCAGTGGCAACAAAGAACTTTCGAGCAGATTGTATTTTAGGTGAAGGAGGTTTTGGTCAAGTATATAAGGGGCGCTTGGAGAGCACGAATCAGGTTCTTTCCAAAGCTTTGACCATCAACTCCATGAAAAATTGAACTACCTGTTTTTCCTTTTCAAAATTCTTTATGCCTTTCGTTTCCCATTCTCAACCTCACCTAAACTGTATTTCTTTCTTGTATTGTAAATTTTAAGTCTTAGAAATTAAAACTTATTCCATCTATGTACTTCCATATTTATGCTTTGATAAAATAGAATGTTGCAAAAGATGACTGAATCTATATTGTTTGGTGAAAGATTATCATTTAATGTAAAACCGGAAAATTTTACGTGTGGTGCTAAGCCTAAATCTGGGGTGGTCTCCAATTTAATAAGATTCAATTCACTTCTATCATTGCAGGGGTGTACTTGTATCTACTGTCATTGTGATTTTTTCTGTGTGTCTTAAAAGTTCGTTTGTTGTTGTATCTTTGATTTCACATACTTGGCTTGTGGTAAGAGCTGAACCTCGTTGCTTTTGGTGTAGGTAGTGGCCATAAAGCAACTTGATTCCAATGGGCTTCAAGGGAACAGGGAATTCCTCGTCGAAGTATTAATGTTGAGCCTACTTCACCATCCCAATCTTGTGAACTTAGTAGGCTATTGTGCTGATGGGGATCAGAGGCTTTTGGTATATGAGTACATGCCATTGGGATCTTTGGAAGACCATCTGCACGGTATATACAACAGTAGCAGCATTAGATGCCATTATTTCTTTGCCCGAAGTTCATAATTTTAAGTCTTGAGGTCTTTCTCTTTCTGTACTTATTGATAAATGGATGAGGACATGACATAACTGGATGTTGCAATAGACACAATACAATGCTATAGAAATCAGTACAATTTGACATTTTTAGGTCTATTTAAGAAATAGAAATCTTGCAGGCTCACAAGTTATTACCATGTCGTGGCATGTTCAATGTATCAGAGAGCATATTGTGCGGTGCTTAAGCACCAATTTTCTTTTTCTGTCTACCTTCTATTCGGTATCTTTTAACGTTGTTGATCACTTTTATCCATCGCCATATGCCAGATCTACCGCCAGATGGAAAACATCTTGACTGGAACACGAGAATGACAATAGCTGCTGGTGCTGCAAAAGGCTTGGAGCATTTGCACGACAAAGCAAACCCTCCTGTTATTTATCGTGATCTTAAATGCTCAAACATTTTACTTGGCGAAGGGTACCATCCTAAGCTATCAGATTTTGGCTTGGCAAAGTTGGGTCCTGTGGGAGATAATACTCATGTTTCCACTAGGGTGATGGGAACCTATGGATATTGTGCCCCTGAATATGCAATGACTGGTCAGCTCACATTGAAATCAGATGTATACAGCTTCGGGGTTGTTCTTCTGGAAATCATTACCGGAAGAAAGGCAATTGACAATTCCAGGGCTGCCGGGGAACACAATTTGGTCACATGGGTAAGAGAGTTGTGTCTTCTTCTTTGCCTTGGTACATTTTATTCTCTGCTTATATAGAAATGTACGAGGATTGCTCGAAACACTCAAATGAGTTTGGTATGAGGTAATACTTGCAAGTAACAACTGCCCTATTTTACGAGTGAAATCAACAATAGGAAGGACAAGCTATTTCTTGCTAAATGGCAGTCTCGACTCTAGTGAACTTTCTGCTCATAAAATCTTTGTCGCAGGCCCGCCCCTTGTTTAGAGATCGGAGGAAATTTTGGCAGATTGCTGATCCAATGCTCCAAGGTCAGTATCCGGTGAGGGGAATGTATCAGGCTCTTGCCGTTGCTGCAATGTGTGTCCAGGAACACCCTAATATGCGACCTGTCATAGCAGATGTGGTCACAGCCCTTAATTACCTTGCTTCCCAAAAGTATGATCCTGAAGCACGGCAATCACACAGCTCTAGCACCGCATCGTCCACTCCTAGGTCTAGGAGGGAAGTTTTAACTTCATAAGGGAAGACTTATTTGATACAGTTTCATCTTCGGAAGCTTGTGATGAGAGCGAGATTGTTGTCACGACTATAGGCATCACGTTGCTTTCGGGTTTTTTTTTCCCTTTCCATAATGGGGTTTTAGTTTTGATTCAAAAGTCAGTTGTTTGGAGCTCAGTAATTTGTTGGCTGTAAATGTAATGGTGCCTGTTTATCGGAATTTTGCTCACTCCGGTAGCAGGTGCAGCGGTCGCTCCCGCCTTTCCCTTTTTTCGTTGCTTCCTCCTCCGCCCCTTTCTTTCAGTCGACTTATACAAGATTCTTTGATGTACAATTGAGCAATGAGATTTTTGAGCCTATATATAAACTGGCCTCCCTATAGAATCATAGAAATATATCCAAATTATTTGATGGAAGTTTTACAGATTTTGTGAGTTTCGCGGGTAGTGATTTTCGCTTCGGTTCTCTCTTTCTGTACTCCTCGCTTTGTTCCTATGCCTCGATTTTTATTTATTTATCAAATCCAAGGGCTAAACAAAGAAGTGCACGGGCGAAAAGGAGAGTGCGGAAATCACTTTCCCTTCACTCATCTAAGCTTTGAGCCTTGAGTGGAAGTGTTTCTACGGGCAATCAAAAAACCACTCAACAAACTCAAAAGCAAAGAGATAAATCACTCGACTTGGTGTGGTGTTAGCGTACCCAAAAAACGTTGGGTCGGAAGATAAAATTGTTGGGTTTAAATAACATATTGAGAGAGATTAAAATCGAAAATTCATAGATACAATACAAGGATGCCGTCGACACAAAAATTATACACTAAACCATATATCCATATTTTTTTTTACATTTTCTTCCTTCTCCATACATTATTATTACCACTACTTAAAGAACAATCAAACAATGAATCGATAAAATTGGTTGTCTATCAAAAAATTACAGACGAAAAAGGAAACCAAAACTATAGCTCCCTGGACCGACGGACACAGAATAGCATACTACCAAGGCTTTGCACATTTGAGTATTACTATCGGGCAGCGAATATCTATACGGATATATCAGTACAGATTATGCTCTGACCTCTATTCTTTATCTTCCGCTTTAATGCCATTCGTCTCTTTTACTTGTGCTTCTGCAGTGGGGCTCTGTCCTTCACCGGTAGACTTGCCATCATTTGGCTCCTCACTGTTAGCAGGTTTTCCCTGGTGCATTCAATAGGTGATATTAACCGCGCATAATATGGAAAGATACCAGTGATCTTAGTCAAAGACCTATCAATCGTCTTCTCCTACTGTTTTTGTCACACAAAAGTTAGTTTCAAGGGTACAAGAAGAACTAACCTTGTTCCTGTCGCGCCAGCCAAGGCCAAATGGTCGACCTAGCAAACTAATCCTTCTAGCAGGAATTTCTTGTGTCAGATCTTGATTGCTTTGTACTGGTGAAGATACAGATCTGCAAAACAATCTTTTACTTCAATTTCCAACTACTGAAAGTTAAAAAAACTTTCTTATTATCTCCGCCGCAAATAAAGGAAGGACTAAATCAAGGTGGACGTGAACGAAACCAAGAATAAAAAAAGGTGATTGAGTAACTTTCAACAATGAATAAATAAGACTGCAAAGACTGTTACCGTGGAGATTGTGTTTTAATTTGACCAGATTGGTATTGCAAAGTAGCCTCCAACATAGATTCTGCCATAACAGCTCTCTTCTCCATTTCCGCAAGCGCAGCAGCAGCCTCTTCATACTTCTCCTGCAAGAATGTGTTTACAACATATAAAATAGGAACAAAAAATATTGACCAGATATTTTTTCACTCTGCAGTCGGAGAAAAGTTTGGTAAAACAAAATGCATTAAATTAGTAAACTAAAATCATACATGTGGTTCTAACATAATAGTTTTTCATTATTACATTAGAGAACGAGTCATATATGGTTTATCTATGCAACCTGAAGTACTTGAGCAGCATATCTCTGTGCTTCTGCATCTTGCTCAGAAAATCTGCGGGCATCTTCTGTTAGTCTCTGCTCTTGTTCTACTCGCATTAAGACCTGCAAGATAGCAAGTGATCTTTCAATTATACTCACAAACCCAGAACCAGAATGGAAAAAAAAAGAACTCTGAAGGACAAAGGATGACGAGAAAAGACCTGGAGCATGACACCCTCCTGTTCCTGCTTATCAGAAAGGGCTCGGCGAAGCTCAGCAACCTCTTGCTCTAATTGCTCAACCTGACATAGCAAGAGAGAATGTGTGAAGTATCTTTACTAGTAACTTTTCAAGTACAAGGACAAATAAATGGGAATTCCACACTAATAACAGAGATGTGTAGTTGATGCTATAAGTAAGCAAAAGACCTGGTTTCAGATCATATTAGCCACTCAAATTCATCCTCATAATTAAAATGCTTTGTTCGACAAAAAAAAAAAAGAAAAATTAAAATGCTTTGTTGCCTTAATATTAGATGTACCAAGTAATAAACAAGTGTTGCAGTAACATATCTAAAATTATTCACCAAGGAAAGTGGGTCCGAGCATGTTCTATTAACATCCACACACAAACTGCAAGAGTACATCTACACACATGCATCAAAATTCAAAACTACCAGAATAGAGATAAATGAAAGTGATAAAAGGAAAGCGAGCATGCATAGTACAAGCAGGAAGTAAAGATACTACAAACTAACAATCACGGAATGAAAATTGAAAAGCTAAACAGAAAAAGGTGCACTTTCAAGAAATGAAGATCCACAGTGAATGAGCTAGATTCCCAAAAGAACATAAATACAAAACCATATCTCTTTCACTGAACAAAGCTGACATGTGTATACAAGTTTCCTGGATGTACCTTGGCACTCAATTGCCGACGATTATCTTGCTTGACCATCTCCATCAATGCTGTCTCCAACTCCTCAGCTCTGGAAAAAGTTTGGAAAGACACAGAATATCAACGTCTCTTCAGAATAATAATAACTGGCTCAAGAACAATCATATTTCTTACTATATTTAATAGTTGCTACTAGAGTATAGTGTGAAGATTAGAAACAGTGGCCTAGAAACATTAGTAATGGTTGTTCAAACTGTTTAAAAATTCTTACTCTTGTGAATGTGGATGCCAGTTGGTGCGTAATTAACATAGAGATTTTGGAATAAATCTAACGAAATGAAAATATTTCAAATTAAGAAGATTATCGCTAGCTTAGAAAGCTAGTTTCCTTCGTGATATTTCAGGATTCCTTGGAATCACAAATAGTTGTTCCGTTTAACAGCGGTCAGGATAATGTTGGGAATGATCTGTAAATAGAATTAACATTAACTGGAGGTTCATAGAAGAAAACTTAAATGTCTAAGCAATCAAGTATGTTCCCAAGAAGTTTCTGGTAAAGTGGCAATGTCAACTAAGGACATTTTCACTCAAAAAAAACTCCATAGGCTCCTGTTGTTCACAATGCAGGGCAACATAGCTCAACTCGCAACTCTACCCAGATGGTCTCTAGAAGGCTACAATGAACGGTCATAGTGGTGTTTGTAGGAACTATCATACCATGGTTGGCCTCGCATACTATAATGAATGGTCGTATTTGACCCCCAAATCCTAGTTGGCCTTGAATTGTAAAGATTAATACCTACCATGAAATAATTATTAAGCTGAATTATTATTGAAATTTCTTGGATTGCATTTTTCCTTCCAACCTATTAAAATGATCTATTTTTTAAAGTATGTAACCAATGCATCGAGGACATTGAGAGTTATATTGGCATCCAACATATCAAAAAGGAATATTCTGTTTAGTGAATGTAGATTTTACAAACAAAAACCACTAACAACATCGAGGGAATATCAACCTGAGTTCAGCAGATCTTTTATCCTCCAGCAACTTACATAATTCAACCTTCAACCATACGACCTGCGGGAAGAACCTAATTTAAATCTCAAAGTTTGATTATGAGGAAAATATTTCAATAAACAGCCAAAAGAAGTTTGACCAAATACGAAATACAAAAGTAACACAACAATTATGCAGGAATGTCTTCTTCTCTTTTGTATTTAATGCAGATTAAGTGACAACCCGTACACAGGTCTATACAATGGACATAAGATGTATATATCAGCAGCACAAAGGTCAAACAATTAAGCTGGAAAAATGGCAGAACAAAATGCATCACTCCACTACTTTGCCAAACAAAAGAAGATTGTAAAGAGGGTGTGGTGGGGTTGAAAAAAAATAGCAACCTGCTCATGAAGATCTGGAACAGAATCTACTTCCCCATTTCCAGTCAGGCTAATTAGAATTTCATCTGCATTAGAGGACCCAGACTCTGAACGAGATAAATCACCATTTGTCTGTGTATTTCGTTCTGCTTTCTTTGTCTCTATTATCAATGATTTAGGATCTTGCTTAAAATTATATAGCTTTGATGCTAGACCCTGAGAATCTTTCCAAGCCCGAAGTCCCTTGGATCTTTCCTCAATAGCGACAATTACAGCTGGCCGATGTTTATTTCTCAACTCTTGTAATCTAGTTTCATTTACATTTTGGTAACCCATGCAAGCTGTCAATACCAGTTGACTGCTATCAAATGTAGAGCCAGCCAGCGATTGCAGAAGAGTAACTGCATCTCCAGCATCCTTGGTAGTAACTAGCGCAGGGCCTACACGTAACTGAGCCAAATTAAGTTTCATAAACCAGAGAAGCCTACATGCCACATAGTACATAGTACTACATTCATGTTTAGAAAAAAAATAAAAAATAAAAAAAGGAAAAATAAATTCGTTTTACCCAGTACCATATAACTCCATCAAAGCAAGTGCTGTCCTGAATAGCATCACACGGTTCCCCTCAAAAAGAAGAACGTCCCAGACTCGAAGAACTGAAGTCAATAGAAAACAATCATATTAGAGGTAGGCTATAAGAAGTACCCATAAAAGAAATGTTACTTTTAATTACAAAGACACATATAAAACCTGACCACTTTCCCATGGAAGCATGTTCATGAAAATGGTAAGGAACCATGGTCCAGTAACCCAAGCCACCTGCACTCCCAGGTAATCTAGATGGTTGACTGCAATGTGATTAAAGGTGACATTAAGTGATCGTCCAACAAATATATCATACAAAGAGAAGCATTTACTGTGTACATAATAATATACAAACCCAATTTAGGAAATCTCTCATGCACCAACTCCTCAAAAACAAGTTGATCCACCTGATAAAATACAGATCATCAGAATATGTTTAAATGCCAACCATCTGCAGCTATACATTAACAACATAGTTTCTCAGTTTCGTTAATGTACCTGAGATTCTATCATTTCCTCTGAGTAATAGCCATCAAAATAATCATCTAAGAGTCCCATCAAAGCCCTGAAAGTTTTTCCAATTTTGTA